CCCCAAAACCCCAAAACCCCAAAACCCCTCTAAAAACCTCTCAGGCTGAAACTCATATATAAATTAAAAAATAAATATTCCCAAAGATACAGAAAAAGCAAACATGGATTCCTACCAACGATCATCAAGTTTATATTATTCAGCACTCAGTGATGAGGAAGTATCAAGAAGACATTCCTCCTTTAATCACCGTAGAGTAATCCGGCTAAACCCAAAACTAGCTGCAGTACTTAAACAAGTTGAGGGGATTGAGAACTGGATAAATCAGACCTCTGAATGTCTCTATAAGCAACATCCAGATCCTAGCATAAATTCAACACAACTAAATCTATTTAAAGATTTGACCTCCCCAATAAAGCACCAATGTGAGGAACTAAAACAGAAGATTGCAGAGAACAACACTTGTCATTCCTGAACTAAAAAATTAAATAAAATTGTGAATGAAATCAAAAAAACTTCATTTATAAGAAGTCTCTATGAAAATCCATTCTTGAAAGAAAACTCAAATCAAGAGTATCAAAACTCTTGCAAACTCAAAGAGAAGATAAAGAACATAGACGAACAACATAGAAAGACTAAAGGAAACCAATATAAGCTTAACCAGGGTTTAATACAGAAATTAAAAAGATATAAAGGCCAACAAAATTCTTTCGCAGATGGATTGATTGATGAGATGGGAGAAAAAGAAATAAGGGTTGATTATTCAAGTGATCAGCAGAGTCATCAAGCTCATGAAAATCTTTCCAAGCTTAGTTCGATACAAAAGAAATCTAAATCTGTAAAATCTTGAGAGGGGAATATCAGAAGGATGGAAAGAAAGAGTCAGAGAAGTAGACATAGTAATAGAGGGATCAAAAAATTCAAAGTCTCAGACAATGAAGAAGATATAAGTAAGTTTCAAATAATCTTATATACTTTAAAACATAATTCCTTGTAGAAAGAGCCTTGTAGACTCATAGAAGTATTAAACCATTATCGATTTAAGCAAGGTTTAGGAACTAATATTCTTAAACAACTCAGAGCCTTGAGATTTTTTTTACTGAACAGTATCGTATACTAACAGATATTCATCACAATTCCCAATCATTTGGATTAGCTTGAAAGCTATAAGGAGCTATATATAACTCTTTCTAGTAGCTATATTGTCAAGGGTTTATCTAAAATATGGTTGATATTTTGCTTGGCAATTAATCAGAATATAGAAGCTAGTTGACTTTTATTAGTTTATGTTAGATGTTAGATTTTTAATGTTGAGCTTACTTGAAATAAGTCCTTAATTATCAAAATATTTGCCCAACCTTTTCTAAATAGCTCCAATTAACCAAAAAACTAATCTTCTCTAAGCCATCATCCATCCCCTAAACACTAGTTAAATAATCCAATCTAACACCTCCAAGCTTATCACTACAACCAACAATCCACTATCACCTCCCTTCCTATCCCCAAATTCCCCAAAATCTCTTCATCCCCTCCTCAATCTCCCAAAACCCCAAGTCCACTTCCCTTTCAGTTCGACCCATAAAAACCCTACTAGTAGAAAACTCCCAAACTTAGACCATAACATGTATAAGCTTAGACTTTAGCTTAGGCTCGGATGATAAGCTGTAGGCCAGATTAAGGAATTGCGCTCACAAGTTCAATTGGGTTTTAGAGATTTGGGCGTTATAGGTTAGAGAGGAGTAGGAGTAGTTAGGAAATTTAGAAAATTAGGTATTTGGAAATAAGATATTGATCAAGAAGGGCTTTATATTTGAAAGATGTAGGGATGGATTTTTAGCAAGTAAATTGGGATATGAATAACATTAAATTATAGGACCTAGTTTGATGGTGAAGAAAGGGATTAGAAATAGTTCAAGCAAGAGGAGTAAAACAAATAATCAGATCGGACATTCAGAAATGAGAGGCTATAACAGATTATCTCATTCATCAAGTAGTATTCTAAGTGATTATTATGGACCTTCTTGTCATAGAAGTCGTTCCATCTTACATAATAATAATGCAGTGGAGTCAGTGTTTTCACACAGCAATATTAGAATGAATCCTCGAGAAGAACAAAGAGAGAATTTAGGAATTGATCCTACTTTAGCGGTAACTTGAAAGTTTAAGCTTTCTAGATTGGTAGATTTAATTAAATGCAAAGGAATGAGGCAACACCACTTTGAAGAAATCCAACAAGATAATCGTATTGAACAGAGTAGCCAAGATTATGGCTCGATGCAGGAATTATTTAACCCAAAAGAAGGGGCAAAAATAACCTATTACCTGACTAATCCGGAGGATATTGAATTCCTTAGTTCTTGAAAGCAGAAGTTAAACTATCTTGAGTTCCTTCAGTTCTATTGATCTGAAGCTATAAAATCAGAGTTTATACATTATGTTAAGAAGTATTTTCCCAAGAAAGTTGATCACTTAAAGTGGTCTGGGAGTTATTTAGATATCGAAGGGTATCGATCCTGGATAATTAAATAAAAGCAAGAGCGTACAAAAAGTGCTAGAAATTCATAAGTTTACTTTAACTCAACCGCAACTAGAAGACATTGTTGACGAATGTAAACAAAAGATAGTTATTTATCTTTCAAATTGCAAGATCATTGTTAAAGATGACCAAAAGTTTGACCGTTACGTCAGAGGCACCAAAAATCTCCAAACCTCAAATGTAATCCTCGAAATAGACGACAGCATCACAAGTTCCTTCAAGTCCATGTCTAAGCACATTCATTCCTAAAATTCCTTCCTTCACCCTAAATTCAAAATCACTACAGCCTTAAGTCTCACTGACAACTACAAATCTAGGAAGTCTGGAGGCGAATTTGGGATTTTTCAAAGGGGAAAGTAGGGTTTGAACGGGATAAGAAAAGGGGTTTTGGAGATAGCATATATTATGTCTTTCTTTTCAATACAAGTAACTAAGATTGGGGTTTTGGGGTTTTGGGGTTTTGGGGTTTTGGGG